CACAGGTGTGGTGGTCTTTGTGAACTGTTTGAGCAAGATAGCTAATCTTGCGGTGCCGTACACCATCGACGGTGTGGGTACAGCGATACTCTTTGTCCATCGCGTCTTTCGACAACATAGACTCCCGAAGTCAATTGTCTCTGATAGAGACCCATGCTTCTTTGTGAAGTTTCGATCTACAATCTTCATGGTGCTGGACACCAAGTTGACTATGTCAATAGCGAGCCATCCGCAAACCGGTGGTCGGACTGAGCACGTGAATCGCATCGTTGAGAGGTTGTTTGCAGCGTCTGTGCTGAGACGCCGAAGAGCTGGAGCGTAAGTTGCCACTCTTAGAGTATGCTCTGAACAATGCATTGCATTCATCTACCGGCTAAACGCCGCTCTACGTAAACGGGCTGATTAATTCTTGCGTCCCGCTGACGCCGCCACTCCATGGATCAGGGCTTGGTGGGTGAGGAATCGCCGAGCGGCTAGCTGATGTCAGCCCCCTCACCGTGCGTATAGAAGTCGGAGACTTCCTTTCTACCGGACTGAGTGTCTGACGACACGTTCGCGATGCGATGGCTGAAAGCCAAGACATGCAGAAGGAATATGTAGACGGAAGGGAGAGAAGAAATATTAAAAACATTTTGGTCGGAGACCTGGTTTTATTAAGTGTTAAACATCTTCCTACCCATGAAGGTTCTGCTGTCATTTAGATGAAGCTCCGTCCACGGGTAATTGGACCTTTTAAGGCAAAGCGAGGCCTTGCGTATACACTGAACCTTCCGAGAAGGATGCGTACTCACTCGGTGATTTATGTGGGCCTATATAAGCCACGCCGGGGTCCGGCGCAAGTGAACGCGGAAGCCTTGGCGCCGGGGAGGCGCCTATAAGGCGCTCGGCCACCCAGTAGCTGAACCAGCAGCTGGTTTTAAGCACGGAGTGCAATAATTTCCGTTTTCATCGGCACCAAGCGTTCCACCGTCTCGCGATATGAGGGCCCGACGGCTAGAGCCTCTCCGACAGAACACGATAATTTTCAACGTGAG